ACTGCCATCTATTTGAAATTATATTAAAAAGCTAGTTATCTAAACAATAGATGACTGGCATTAACCAAGAAACCCAAACCAACAGACAGAACGAGGGAGCTCAAATCACAAACCCAAATTCCTAGGTAGAGTAAACATTTTGTAAAAGAACACCAAAAGACAGAACGAAGAAGGGAGAATCTGTTTAATTAATTGCTTTGAAAATTGGATACCCCTATGCAAAACAAAATAGGGCCCCTATTGTGTAACAGGCGCAACAATCAACTCAAAATGAATTAGAGACTCATACACAAAACTTGAAAGCATCAAGTTCCTCCAATGGAAAGACAAACAATGTGGGTATATTTAGGTCAACGTGGATCTGTGTTCACAGTGTGCCAAAACTAAACAAAAAATAGAGGGTGAAACTCATGGGTGATGGATTAGTTTGGTCATAATTTTGATTTTCTTCATCCGTCACCTACATCACAGGAAACCAAGAAAACAGACACATGTAGGACTGCATCACACTCTAGAGTTTGTGCCCAAGCATATTTAAAAAAATCCATGAAGAAAATAAAAAATCATCCTGAGGTTTACAAGAAAGGATTCAGCAAACATACATCTGATAAAAGGTTGCCTTCAAAATGCCTAAGCAACTAACACCACTTACTAGCAAAAACACAAAAATTAACCTACAACTACCACTTCATCTAACAATTCTACTACTAAGGATACTTTCAGTGCAAAAGAAATCAGTCATGTAAGAGATATCTGCCATCGTATGTGGACTGCATCACTATTCGCAATTGCCAAGATAAAGAATAAACTTACCTGCCCATCCACAGGTGAAGGGATAAAGTAACTGTGGTGGATACACACAAATAGTCTTCAGCCAGTAAAGCAGAATGAAATTTCATCATTTGGAGCCATACTCTTGAACCTGCAGGACATCATGGCAAATGACCTAAACCAGGCAGAGAAAGAAAAACATTGCCACATCTCACTCATGTAGAATCCAAAATAAAAGGCTTTATTGCATAGATCTAGAGGGCACAATAGTGGTTACCAGAGGTTGGAGGGAAGAGGGGGCATGGGAAGGGATCAGAAATAGGTAAAAAGTTACACTTAGATGAGAGGAATAAGTTGTTCATCTCTGTTCCACAGCACAGTGACTAGAGATTAACACAACATCATACCTTTTTCACAAAATCCGAAAAAGAAGATTCCAAACGTTTTCACCACAAAGAAATTAACAACTGTTTGTGATAACAGAAACTCTTGTAAATGCAAGATTTCAAATGTTTCACCACAAAGAAATTAACAACTGTTTGTGATAATACTCTAAATATCCTGATTTTATCATTCCTCTGTGTCTGTATTAACCAAAATGCCACGATCTAACTCCCCACATTGTACACCTTTACTATATGGCCACCCTTTTAAAAAAAATATGTAAACACACAATGCTAAAATTCATGTGGACCACAAAACAGCCTGAATTTCCAAAGCAATTCTGAGAAATCCAAACGACATTGGTTGTGTCACACTTCCCAATTTTAAATTTCATTGAAAAGCTAGGGACCCCCTTCCACACAGAGCAGTGGAACAGATTAGAGGATCCAGACGTAAACCCTAACACGCCTAACACCATCTGATCTTCAACAAAATCCACAAAAATAAGCTTTGGAGAATGTACTTCCTCCTCAATAGATGGTGCTGGGATAAATGGCTAGCCAGTTGCAGAAGAAAAACAGTGGGGCCCTGTGTCTCACTGTGTACAGAAATTAACTCAAGTAAATGAAATATGTAAATGCCAGACCTCAAACTATGAAAAGCCTGCAAGGGAACTCAGGAAGTACCCTTCTTGACAGAGGATTTGGCAGAGCATGAATATGCCTAAGTCCCCAAAAGCAAGTGTAACTAAAACAATTATTGACAAGTGAGGCCTAATATACAAAAGAGTGGCTGCACAACAGAAGAGATTAACAACAGAGTAAATAGACAGCTTACATAATGGGAGAAAATGTTCCCACGTATGCATCTGATGAAGTCTAATATCCAGGATCTACCTCAAACATGTTAAGCAAATAAATCAGCAAAACAAAAACTCAATGAAGAAAGTGCAAGAGGCATGAAAACACACATCTCAAAAGAAGGTTTACAGCAACCAACAGACAGGATAACATTTTTCTAACTTAGTAATCATCAGAGAAATACAAGCAAAAGGCCCATGAGATAGTATTTCACACCAGTCAGAATGGCAGTTATGACACAGTCCACAAGAATGACTGCCAGTGAGGTAGAGGAGGAGAGGAATGCTGGTCTGCTGTTGGTGGAAATGCAAACTACTTTGGACACCATGGAAAGCAATGTGGGGATTTCTCAAATAACTTTCTTGACATCACTAATACAAAAATGCCCAAGAAAACCACACTAAGATTCTGCCTCATTCCACTCAGAATGACTACTACCAAAAACAAACAAAACACAAATTTTTGAAGGTGACAGCCAGTGTACACTTACAGAAGGGTAACCTCTCAAACACAATTGGTGGGGATGTAAATTAGTATACACACTATGAGAAACAGCTAGAGGTTCCTGAAAAAATTCACAGCACAACTACCATGTCAGCAAGCAGCCCCCACCACTGGTTCCACATTTGAAGCAGCTGAAATTCCTAGGTTGAAGAGAGCTATCTGCCTTTCCATGGGTACCAAAGCTCTCGTAACTGTGACCAAGGTACAAAACGAACCTATCTTTCCATATGTGGCTGCTGGAATGAAGAAACTGCCATATAGATACACTACAGAATATGTTTCAGCCATAAAGCTTTGGGAAATCCTGCCATCAGCAGCCACATGAAGAAATCTGGAGAACATCAGATCCAATGAATGAGCCTGGTAGAGAAAGTTCCATGCCACGTGATCTCAGGCACGTATACTGAAAAAAGCTTTATCTCCTAGAAGTAGAAAGTTCAATAGGGATGACCAGAGGCTGCTGGGGAGGTGGAGGCGGTCCGGGGAGGAATCAGTAATGGGTACAAAGTTACTCTCCGATTAGAGTAATCAATTCTGGTCTTCTATTCCATGGCAAGATGACTAGCCTTAACACAAATGTATCATATATTTCAAAGTAGCTAGAAGAAAAGATTCTGAATGTTGTCACCACTCAAAAAATAATAACTATATGAGGTGAAGAGATGCTAAATAACCTGATTTTATCATTACTCAACATATACATGTATCAAAATCTTCCTGGTACCCTCTAGTTATATACATTTAGCATATGGCAGATAGTAAGGCGAACATCACACACCAGTGCCTATTGTGGGGAAGCGGGGAGGGATAAGGAGATATACTTAATGTAAATGACAAGTTAATGGGTGCAGCATATCAACATGGCACATGTATACATATGTAACAAACCTGCACGTTGTGCACATGTACCCTAGAACTTAAAGTATAATAATAAAACAAAAAGAAATATTTTAAAAATGCCAAAATTTATGTGGAAATGTGAAACACCAAGAATTTCCAAAGCTATCCATGAGAAATACAAACCATATGGGATGCATCACATTCCCTGAGTTCTAATTAAGTGAAAATCCCTAGTTAACCAATTCATATGTAACTGGCATACACGGAGAAACAGACCAGTGAGCAAAATGAGGGCGCTCAATAATAAACACAAATTTCTAAAGAGTGAACACATTTTTCAAAACACCACCAAAATGACACAATGGGGAAGGGTTCCAAAACTAGATATTCATTTTCAAAATAATAATACTGGACTCTTATGGTACTAAATACACAATAATCAACTCAAAAGAATTAAAGATTATACACAAAACTTGCAACCATAAAGTTCCTATGAAGACAATCTCAGGTGTGTGTATATTTAGGGCAACTTGGATGTATGCTCATGGTTTACAAAAAGTAACAAAAATACAAGGGAAAAAATCATTGACAGTGGACAGTTTTGGTAGGGATTATGTTTTTCCTTGATTAGTAACCAACAGCATAGCTAATCAAGAAATTGTACACATGTGGGACCACACCAAACGGAAAAGTTTTTGCCCAACAAAGGAAACAATGGACACAATGAAAAAGCATACCGAAAAATACAAGAGACGTAGTTTGGGCAAACATATCTTGGATGAGGGGTTATTTTTGAAAACGTACAAGTCAGTAATACTACCAGCTGGCACAAAACAAACAAACAAACATAAAAATAACCAGACCAAAATTGGGCAAATAATCTGAGAAGATATTTGTACAAAGAAGACAGGAAACTGACCCAACATTTACAAAAATGTGGTTAACATTACTACTCATGATAAAAATGTAGATCAAAACCACACTCAGATCTTATCTCACTCCAACTAGAAGGAACATTACAAAAATATTAAAATATTTAAAAAGACAATTCCTGGTATCAATTTCCAGAAAGGGGAACTGTTTGTGGAAATGTAAATTAGTACTAACACTATAAAAAAAAAGTTGGGGGCCCTGCAAAGAATAGAAAAAAAAAAAAGAAATTCCATACCATCTAGCATTCCCACTACTGGGTATACGTTCAACCTACCTGTTCATCCACAGATAAAGGAATCAAGAAACTCTTGTACACATACATGAGGGAATATTCTTGGCCATCAAAATAATGAAACAGTGTCATTTAGAGCACTCCAGACAAACCTGGAAAACATTATGTTAAATGTAATGAGCTAGGCCTAGAAAGACAAACACTGCATGATACCACTCGTGAAATCTTAAGATGTTTATCTTCAAGTAGAAAGCACAATATTGGTTACCAGAGTCTTGGAGATGAGGGGGAATGGGAAAGGATTGGTTATGGAAACAAAGTTATCTTAACATTAAAGGAATACATCTGCGTTCTCCTCCTCAGCCTGGTGACTGGTGTTAATAATACTATATTTTTCTAAAAAAGCAAGAAGGGAGAATTTTGAGTGTTCTCTCCACACACACACAAAAAACACCTGTATGAGGGAATAGAGATCCTAAGTACCCTGATTTGATCATTACCCAACCTATCTGTATGAAACTGTACCCTTAACTATGGACCTTCATGTTGTAAAAAAAAAGTTAACAGAAATAAATATATATTGCAAAAAATCACAGGGAACCACAAAAGTAATGAATATCTAAAGGAATTCTGAGAAATACAATCAAAGTGAGGACCCACAATCATCGATACCAAATTAAACTACTGCCAAGTCGTAGTTACGCAGCAGATATATGTTACTTGCATAAAATCAAATACCTAGAACTGTGGACAAAAACAGGGAGGAGAAAAACACAATCAACACAAATATGGACATAGTCAACTGACTTTGATAAAGAACACCACAATGTGGAAGGCAGAGTCTGCTCAATGAATACCTTTAAGAAAAATGATATCCAGATGCAGAAGTAAGAAATAGGACCCTTATTTTACACAATGTATGAAAATCAATCCCCCTTCAAATTGAAAGCCAAAACAAAAGACCATAAGCCACAAAATGTTTTTAACTACAACACAGGTTGAGCATATATTTTGGGTCACTTGAATCTTTGCTCACCTTTGCAAAGAGGAAAAGAAACAAACACCCTGGAAGAAAAACCTCATTGACAATGAACTGCTTTGTCATTGATATATAATTTCTTATATGGGTGACCAAAATTACACGCATGGAACGCAAAAAATAAACATCGGACTACATCAATCTGAAAAGTTTCTGCACAGCAAAGCAAACTACTTTCCACAGAGAAAAGCATCCTATAGATTAGGCAAACATTTCAGGCAATCATGTAATTCACGAGGAGTTGTCGTCTAACGTGTACACAAAAAACACTACAAGATAGCAAAACACTCCAATCTAATATTTCTCAAAGAACCTGAACAGACAATTCTGCAAAGACATAAAATCAAACAACAGATAAGAGATAAGGTCCTCAAAATTATTCATTAGAATACTGTCATTCGAAACCACACGCAGACAATCTCACACTTAATGCCTATTCCTAGAAAACTTATAAAAAATAGGAGGGGCCAGGAACAGTGGCTCACGCCTGTAATCCCAGCACTTTTGGAGGCCGAGGCTAGCGGATCACCTGAGGTCAGGAGTTTGAGACCAGTCTGACCAATATCGTGAAACCGCGTCTTTACTAAAAATACAAAAATTAGTCAGGTGTGGTGGCAGGCGCCTGTAGTCCCAACTACCCGGGAAGCTGAGACAGGAAAATTGCTTGAAACCGGGAGGCGGAGGTTGCAGTGAGCTGAGATGGCGCCACTGCACTCCAGCCTGGGAGACACAGTAAGACTCCATCTCAAAAACAAAACCAAAAATAGGAATGAGGGCGGGGTTTTGGAGAAAGGGCAACTCATACGCTGTAGGTGGAAATGAAAAATTAGGATACACATCATGGAAAACAGCTAAATAGCTGAAGACTCCTCAAAGAATTGAAACTATAGATGTTCCTTGCCCTAGCGAGGTCTCTTTCTAAAGGTCCTGAGGCATCAAAAACAACCATAGGCCCCAGTTCAGAGGCCCGTGGGACTCGGAAGGACCCAGGTCCCGCGGTTCACTGCTGCCGCGGCCAGGACCCCACAACACCCCCCAAGTGGACGACTGGGGCCCAGATGCCCAGGAAGAACTCAGGGCCTGTAGGAGGGAGTGGCAGGGAAGGAGCAGGGAGGCCCGGAGGGTTCCAGGTGGGGACCATGCCCCCCCACTTACCGCTGAGACTTGCCTCCTCCTCCACCATCACATGGAAGCCACCAGGGCTTCTCGAAAGCTCACTCTCACCACGCCGCCGCTGGCGCCTCGCAAGAAGCGCAGTCTAAGCTTCCATAGGCGCACGCACGCTGGCAGCGTCCCTCCAGCCAGGCTGAAGCGCCACCCCCTCTTAAAGGGGCCGCAGCTGAGACTGGCCGGAAGCGGCTTCGGGTTGCGGGACAGGCTGATCCTCTGCCCAGCCCCAGGGGTGGACGAAAGGACCCCAGTCTCTCATCCTCCCTGGCTCTAGGACCCTAGAGGTCACAGGAGCGCTCCCTGTGACCCTGGCCCCGACATAGGCTCCCATTGCTTGAGGAGTGCGCGGCACTTGCCCCTGCCCACTTCTGGACCTCAGCTTCACCATCAGCAAAGGAAGCGGCCTGGCCAGAGCTCTGAGTTCCCTCAAACTCCGAGCCTCGGGATTCAGGGTGGGCTCCCCTGCCCCTCTGCAGAGGAGGCCCAGAGAACCACAGAAAGCTGAGAACTGGAGGGACAGTCCGGAGGGCAGCAGGGCCTCCCCGCCTCGCTGTTTGCATTCATCCTGTGGGAGCCTGGGGTCTCACTAGGGCCTAGACACCCCACCAGTGGCCTCACCAGGGCTGCCCGGGTCACCGGACTCCACGGGAGGCAGGCAGAAGCCCTGGGGTTTAGCGCTGTCCCCACCTCAACTGCATTCTACGTCAGTGCCCACGAGGGGCCCTGTGGAGTGGACCCAGGCCGCCCCTTTCCGGGGAATGGGACCTGCATCGGTCTCCATGACACCCAAGGGAGGGGCCGTGCCGACCTTTCCAGGGAATCTGGGGGTGAGGCGGGGGAGTCCTGGTCACCTCTTGAAGCTCGCTGAGCCGCCCACCCCAGAGAGCTGGCAGAGAGCTCACACATTTTCAAACTTTCATTTCCATTTTCTCCTCCCAACCCCCCAAAAATAAAAGACATGTGTAGCTTCATCGCCTGTACATCATCCATTCCCCAGGGCCACGGCGTGGATCCAGCCCGCTAGCTGCCTCAAGGGGCCTGGGCGCCTGGCGGCCAGCATGCAGCCCGGGGCCTGCCCAGGTGAGGTCTGCGGACACTACAGTGCCGAGGTCCCTCCTGGCTGGGGCACACGGGACGCTGTGGGTGCTGGCTGTGAGCTCCTGGAAGGTGGAGCTGGAGGGTGCCCCAGGCCCTGGCTGCAGAGCTCTTGATGTCATGCCCAGCGCCCTCCATCCACTGCCTCGGGGCAATGCTCCAGAGCCCCAGCTGGGGCAAGAAGTCTATCGCTTCGTCCTTTATTCGTTGGAAAAATTCAAAAACACATCATGATCCCCGAAACAATCACTGTTTACAGGCGGTGGCTCGCGCCTGTAATCACAGCACTTTGGGAGGCGGAGGTGGGCGGATCAGAAGGTCAGGAGATTGAGACCATCTGGCTAACACGGTGAAACCCCGTCTCAACTAAAAATACAAAAATTAACCGGTCATGGTGGTGGGCGCCTGTAATTCCAGCTACTCCGGAGACTGAGGCAGGAGAATGGCGTGAGTCCGGGAGGCGGAGCTTGCAGTGAGCCGAGATAGCAACACTGCACTCCAGC